AACAGCTGTGACTGTGAATTTGAACTTCGCTGTTTCGTGGCGAACCAACGATATCGGCTCTCAGTCTGTTCGGTGGCTCGTGCTGCTCAGTGGTGCTCATCGTGTGGTGTAGTGTTATCACCGTGTTCCGCTCATCATGCCTGACACAGACAAGGCCGCCAAAGCAGATGCTGAGGAAAAGACAACCTCGGGTCGGCAATCTCCTCTCACCCTCAATGTGCCTGGTCAACAGACCGCCCCCAAGGGGACAGCTTTTGGCAACACTCAAGGACGCAACTCACGTCAGACTTCTCCAGCTCGTCTCTCCACCGAGCTCACACTCAAGGTGAGATCACAAATGAGTCGTTTCAATACTATAAAACTCATTGCAGACGAGAAGGTTGTTGACCCCGAGAGCACATCACTCGGGGAGGTCAACGCAGCGCTGTCTCAATTGGAGAAGCTACATAAGGCATTTTTGAAGGAGCACGCGTATTTCGAGATAACATGGCCTGAGGCATATTTGGATCACGAGTATTTTGCGGACAACATCCATGAAAAGGAAGCTCATCTCGTGATCTCAGCTAAGCTACTGCTCAACAAGGTCAAACAGCGGCTCACACCATCTTCACCGCGTGCAGCCTCTTCTGATCCGGAAAAGCTAGTCCACTCACGTTTGCCAGACATTAAGTTTAATGGTGATTACTCAACGTGGCCCACCTTTCGTGATCTTTTCTCCTCTGTAATCTTGCAGCACTCCAAGCTCAATGACGTGGAGAAACTTCATTATCTCAGAGGCTGTGTGCAGGGCTCAGCGGAACAGCTCATTCGAGGCTTGCCTCTCACTGGAGAATCTCTTCAGCCATCCTGGGAGCTGCTCACCTCGAGGTTTGATAATAAGAGACTCATCATACAGGCTCACCTTGGTCTCCTTAACCTCTCACATGCCTTACCCAAGAACGCCGCATCGCTCACCAAGCTAGTCTCAACGGTGTCCGAGATTGATAAGGCTCTGAGTTCGCTTGGCATGGCGGAGCACATGTGGAATTGCTTCTTGGTCCATCACGTGTCACGCTTCCTGGATAGAGACACCAGAGAGGCGTGGGAAACCTCGCTTGGATCATCTCAAGAGTATCCGCGCTTTGCGAAATTTGAAACCTTCCTCAATGCCAGGGCGAGAGCATTGGAGAGAGTGGAGGCTGCACCACCTTCTTCGGGCAACTCATCGAAAGTCACACCTAGCTCATCTAAATCTGCTAACAAAAAGGCGACTGCTCACCAAGTATCTGCTCCCACACATGCTCAGTCATTCTCTGCTGCGGCTCACCCGTGCGACATGTGCAATGGACAGCACTTCATTGTAACGTGCTCCAAGTTCAGGGATCTCACGCCAGCACAACGGAAGACCACCGCAATCGACAAGAGGCTGTACTTCAATTGTCTGGGGCGCCACAATGTCCGCTCATGCAGATCCGCGCTGAGCTGCAAGACATGCTCAGCCAAACATCATACGATGCTGCATGTGGAACAGTCTGCTGCTGCATTGACTCCTGCTCAACCTGCCTCATCACCAGCTCACTAGGAATCAGGTGCAATCGTCAAGGAATCAATTCAAGCTCACGCACATTATTCAACGCTACTTGCAACTGCAATGGCATGCATACAATCAACGGTCTCAACACATCAAGCAAGGCTTCTCATCGATCAAGGATCTGAGCTCACATTCATCACGGAGGATCTCGTCAGACAACTCAACATACAACGTCGACACGCAACTGTCTCAATCATTGGCATTGGAGCCAGGAAAACGACTAGGACCAAGGGCGTGGTGACGCTCACGCTTCACTCCTATCATTCTAAGCATACTGTCATTATTCAAGCCCACGTCCTCAAAACACTAACGACCATTCTACCATCTTTTACAGCACCTCAACAAACGTGGCCACACATAGAACCTCTGACATTGGCAGATCCACAGTTCCTCACGCCACGCTCAATCGACATTATCATTGGAGCTGATGCATACGGGCAGATTATCAAGCCTAACATCATTAAACGATCTCCTGACATGCCAATCGCTCAACTCTCAATATTTGGTTGGCTAGTGCTTGGTCCAGTCAGCTTGTCACCATTACAAATGTCGACTGCGCATCACATCAAGGTTAAACAGTACGATCTCAATCTTCAAGAATTGCTGACAAGGTTCTGGGTGCAAGAAGAGCTACCAACTGATGCAGCAGACCAGCTTACCTTGGAAGAACAACAATGTGAAGATCATTACAAGGCCACACACTCTAGAGATCCAACGGGACGATACATTGTACGCATCCCGCTCAAGCTTCCAACCAGTTTCTTAGGGAATTCACACAATACTGCTCACCATTGTCTCCAGCGCATTCTCAGACGACTCAACAAGGACAAGGAATATCAGAGCCTCTACACCAAATTCATGAGCGAGTATGAACAACTCAAGCACATGGTGAAAGTTGGATCACAACCATCATCCGATGTTCCGCCATATTATTTGCCTCACCATGGTGTGCTCAAACCCGACAGTATAACAAAACTGCGGGTTGTCTTTAATGGCTCAAGTCCGACCTCATCAGGATTATCTGTGAACGATCTCATGCACACTGGTGCAAATCTATTGCTCAATGTTTCAGACGTTCTCTTGTGGATTCGTAGTTACAGGTACATCTTTGCCACAGACATAACAAAGATGTATCGACAAATCAAGGTACACCACTCAGACTGGGATCTGCAGCGCATTCTGTGGATCGACGAGCATCACAATGAAACATCATATCATCTCACCACGGTCACTTATGGAACGAAGGCTGCTCCATTTCTCGCAGTGAGGACACTCATGCAACTGGCCGAAGATGAAGGCCATCGATTTCCACTGGCAGTGCCATCACTCACTCGTGGGAGGTACGTGGATGATATTTTTGGTGGTGGTGACACAGGAGAACAGCTCATAGAAATTGCTCATCAATTAGAAGATCTCTGCCAGGCGGGCGGATTTCCTCTTGCCAATTGGCACTCCAATCATCCAGAATTGTTAAACGCCATCTCATTGACAGTCTCGATCAACTCACCAGTCTCACTTGACGATTGCGCAACCAAAATTCTCGGATTAAAGTGGCTGCCTCAAGAAGATGTTTTTACATTCTCAACAAGCTCAATTCCTCACCAAGAACAGCTCACCAAGCGACGTGTACTATCTGAAGTGGCACAGATATTTGATCCACTTGGTTTTGTCTCACCAATCGTAATACGAGCCAAGATGCTTTTTCAAGAACTCTGGCTCCACAAGATCAACTGGGATGAACCGTTACCATCTCAAGTTGTCTCAAGGTGGCTCAACATCAGAAAAGATCTCACAAGCCTGGCCAGGCTCTCAATTCCACGCTGGTTCAACACAAGCAGTGACTCAACGGTTGAACTACATGGCTTTTCTGATGCATCTCAATTTGCCATGGCTGCAGTCGTATACATGGTCGTGCACACGCCGTCCAAGGGCGCCAAAACTTCTCTCATATGCTCAAGAACAAAGGTATCCATTGAAGAGGCTCACTATCTCAAGGCTAGAACTCACAGCAGCGCTGCTTCTTTCAAAATTGGTGAAATATGTCCATGCCACACTCAAAATGGACATCAAGGAAACATATCTATGGACGGACTCTCAAGTGACGCTCACATGGATCAAAACACACTCATCTCGATGGAAGGATTATGTGCGCAACAGGGTATCACAAATTCAAGAACTCACGACACATGCTCATTGGAAATTTGTTCCAGGTACAATCAATCCTGCTGACTGTGCATCTCGTGGTGTAACAACAGCTCAACTTGAAGATCATACCTTGTGGTGGGCAGGACCACCATGGTTGGCTCAACCGAAAGATCGCTGGCCCGCTCAGCCAACGTGCTCGGACGAGCAGTGTACAACAGAATCGCGCCCAGGAGTGTCACTCTTCACAACTAACATGAAGGTGGATTACGACTGGGATCTCATCTACAAGTATTCATCGCTCAATCGACTGCTCAGAATCACAGCTCTCTGTCAGGTATTTATTCGACGATTGAGAAATCGACACGATGGCCCTCAAGCCTCACACATCTCAGTCGCTGACTTAGAGCAAGTTAAGATCTTTTGGATCAAGGTTACACAATCAACATTTTTTGCACATGAGCTGAAGATGCTCAGCTCACAATCACGTCTAGCAACTTCTCATCCATTCAGTCGTCTCACAGCATTTATTGATCATCAAGGAGTTGCTCGTGTGGGAGGACGACTCAAGAATTCCACCCTCAATTATGAAGGCAAACACCCTGCAATACTCCCTCGCCATTCGAGATTGTCTGAATTAATCATCAGCTGGTCCCACCAACGGACACTACATGGAGGAACGCAACTCACCTTGGCGCATATCAGGCAATCATATTGGATCATCGGTGGACGTGCTCCAGTAAAATCTCACATCTTGCGGTGTGTGGTGTGTGCTCGACAAAGGGGGATTCGTGCCCATCAACTGATGGGCCAACTACCTCTGCCTCGGGTCACACCCTCACGCGCATTCACGCATACTGGCATCGATTATGCTGGACCGCTCACACTCAAAACATGGAAGGGAAGAGGAGCCAAAACTCAAAGGATGGATTTGTGTATTTGTCTGTCTCACCACATCTGCAGTTCATTTAGAAGTTGTTTCAGACTACTCAACGGATGGATTCATCTCAACGTACAGAAGATTTGTCTCAAGAAGAGGCATCCCTCATTCACTGTACTCTGACTGTGGCACAAACTTTGTCGGAGTAGAGAAATCACTCCAGACATTGTTCACAGAGAGTTCTCAAGATAACCGGCGCATCTCATCTCTGCTTGCTCAAGATCGCACTCAATGGATTTTTAATCCACCAGCTGCTCCACACATGGGTGGCAAATGGGAAGCAGTGGTAAAATCACTCTAACACCACTTGCGTCGTACCATAGGAGAGACGTTGCTCACATTCGAAGAAACGACAACCCTGCTTGCTCAGATTGAAGCGATCTTGAACTCACGACCTCTCGAACCACTCAGCGACGACTCAGATGACATCTCAGCGCTCACCCCAGGACATTTTCTCATCGGAAGTGCTCTCACATCAGTACCGGAGCCGTCACTGAAGGACTTAGCCACCTCAAGGTTATCCCGATGGCAATTCATACAACAGCGAGTACAGCAATTTTGGTCTCAATGGTCAGCTCAATATCTGCAACGACAACAAGCAATCTCGAAGTGGCATCACCCATCCAACGACATACAAGTGGGCTCATTGGTTCTCATCACCGACGAGAGGCTCCCGCCATGTAAGTGGCCATTAGCCAGAGTCTCCACCCTGATGCCAGCCAAGGACGGACTCACCCGCGTGGTGACCCTGAAGACACCCACAACGACGCTCACCCGACCAATCACCAAGCTGGCACCGCTGCCCATTGCTCATCAAGGCCAAGCTCAACATCCGTAGGAGTGGACTCATCATCAACCTGATTGCTGATGGCGGGCGGAACTGTTTGAGATTCCTCCAGTTATCTCAATTGTACTGCCCTCGCCATCTCACGGTTATTTGCGAGGCCCAGTGGTACCGCGCGCGCGACCGCGCGACCGGGTAACGAGCACGTGTCGGGCCCGTGAACATGGCTCGAGGGCTTGCGCGCAAGCTCAGAGAGTTCGGTAGTCGTGTGAAAGCAGCCGTTGTAAGCTGTAAAAGTTCGCATAGATATACGAAAAGTATCGCGCTCGCGCTCACGGGAATAAGTGCGATTTCAGTGCTTGTTCGCTCACATTGACAATCAGTGCTCACCCCTGGACAGACTCATTAGTAAAGTGCTCAAGTCGAGTGCATCGGTGTTCTGCGCAAAGGCCTCTCATTTTGTACGTGCACGCTCGCTTGTAGCCGGCCACCGGCTCAACGGGCGGCACATCCCCGACGGTCTTGTGCGAACAAGAGAGCTCGACGGACTCGCTCACCTCCATTATACGCCTCAGTAACTCTCAATTATACATAGTGTAAATACGATTAAACGTTCGACTCATTTTAACAACCGAATCGTAGTCATTCTCGCCACGGTGCACGTCCTTTCTCACCCCCCGATCCACACGCCGCGTTCACGGAGATTTCGCGATCTTTCGATCTCATGACGAGATTCGAAAGGGAGGAAATTTCCCAAACAGGAACGAAGGGGGTGAGGTCTTTAGAAATGAATTAAAATAGAAAGAGATAGGTTTAACATAATATATTTACGATTTGTCTACATCTAGACATTAGATTAGGATTAATAAAATAAAAAGAAGGTAATTTTACGTCTTGACATTATATTTGAGAAAAAGAAATAAAATAGACTAAAGCTAATTTTTACTAACTAATAAGAAAGATCAATAGTGTTACATTTATGTGTGTTAACGCTATATACATTTTTCGCGGATGTGGCTGTGTGTGTGTTTGTGTGAGTGAGGGATTTATTAATGGTTTTTAATGATGGCGGAGGAGGGAGGGAAAAGGCGCTGGAGGAACAGGATGGAGACGGGCCTGGGATATCTCTCCCCGGGAAGATAGACAGGGATGACTCGGTTAGGAGGATTGGAGTGAACTCTGTCAAGGAGTTCAGGGATGTCCAGGAACTCAGGGCCTACGGTGAAGGTCCCTGGGGGAGGACGGGAGCAAGGAGGGATGTCGCGGATTAGTCTAAAGAATTGCTCGGGAGTAATCCGCGGGCGAGTGAGAGGAGGGAGTTCAAATTCCTCGACGATCTCTATACTAGAGATCGAAGAGGCGGGGGACGGAGGCCTGTCGTCAATTTCCGGATCGGGGAGAGGGGATTGAGGCTCGGGCAGCTGGGGAGGAGGATCTTGTGGAGAGGAGGAAGAGGGTGGGGGGTCCTCGGCCTGTCGGTCGGGACTAGCGCAGAGGGGAGAAGAGGGAGGAGAAGAGTCGCGGTCTTGAACGGGTTGTTCCTGACAATTCTGCGCGGCTACCAAACGCGCGCGCCGATTCCTTCGATTCCTCGCTCTCTTTATTACGGCTCGCGACTTCCGCCTGGGGTTTGAATGTGGATCTCGTGAGTCCACTAAAATGAGTAGAATAATCTATGAGTGGGTAATTTCGGGATGAGAGTTTAATAGAGGAAGCGAATCGTGTCGGATTCACACTAAGGCGGAATCCGCGGACACAAAACGAATTTTGGAGGAATGGAACTCTTCGAATCGTGTCGGATTCACGCTAAGGCGGAATCCGCGGACACAGAACGATTTTTGGAGCAATGGAACTCTTCGAATCGTGTCGGATTCACGCTAAGGCGGAATCCGCGGACACAAAACGAATTTTGGAGGAATGGAACTCTTCGAATCGTGTCGGATTCACGCTAA